TTTTTTTTTTTTTTTGAGGCACACTGTTACTTCGTGGTAAACTGTGACAACTCAAAAACAAATGTATCAAGGGAGGAACGTCCAAAGACCACTCCAGTGCGGGAACCACCAAATGAGCGATCAGGAAGGTCAGAATACTACGCAGATGGGGGCAGTCTCTATCTTTAGGTGATTGATTGGTGACTGACTTATTTATTTTGAGACAGGGTCTAGCTCTTGTAATCCAGGATGGCCTGGAACTCAGTGTAGGTCAAGCTGCCCTCGAACTCCCAGCGTTCCTCCTGCCTCTCGAGCGCTGGGATTACAGGCGTGTGCCAAGATGACAGGCTATTGGTGGCGAATTTAAAAGAAATATATATATGTATAATATTACATATATATAATATATATATTTGGTTTCGGTTTTTTTCCGGTACCGGGAATTGAACTCACGACCTTGTGCTTGCCAGGCAGGCGCTGTGCCGCTGAGCTAAATCCCCAGCCCCAAGAAATGTATTTTTGAATACCAAGGCTCTGCAGCCACTTAGGTAAGAAATAATGTGGCCTGCAGGTTTAGGTCTTAAAATGCTACGGGAGCAGAGGCAGGTGAGTTTCCTTGTACTACAAGCAGATTATGGAAAAAGCAGCTCATCTGCTCGTGGCAGCGCACCAAGACATGTTCCTCTGCGCATTCCGAGACGCCAGGCTGTTTCACATAATAAGGCGCACGCTCAGAGAAAAGCACCTGAGCCGGGCGTGGTGGCGCGCGCCTGTAATCCCAGCACCCAGGAGGCTGAGGCAGGAGGATCGTTCCGAGTTCGAGACCAGCCTGGGCTACATAGCGAGCTCAAGGCCAGCAGGAGCTGCATAGCGAGACCCTGTCTCAAAAGGACCAAAAAAAACAAAAAAGAGAAAAGAACCTGTCTCAAGAGCAGGGAAATCTGGACCTCGCTAGCACCGCAAGACGCTGCTGTGGCGCTGGAGAAACGCGTGCAGGCGGGATCGCGCTCCTTTTCGCCCTCGCCGGCGGCGCCAAGGAGACCGAGCTCGGGCTTACGGGAGCCGACCCCGGGGAGCGGCGGGGGAGGCTGTCAGCCAGCAAAGTGCGAGGGGGTCAGCGCGGGGTAGAAGGTGGCCGGGGCGGCGAGGCAGGGCTGTGCCAGGAGGTCTGGGACCGGCACCGCCGCGAGGCTGTCACGGGGCGGCCTCCCCCCTCCCGGCCTCGGGCCCCAGTCACTCACATGCGGGCCCGCGCCCCCTCGGGCTCCTCCCGCCTCGGGGACACCAGCCGCCCGGCGAGGAGGGGTGGGCCGGTAACTTCCTGCTTCCGGGAGCGCAACCTGGAAACAGTTGCACGCCACAAGCGACGCCTTGCGTCTTCCCTCCCCCTCCCCGCGCTTCCGCCGACAACAGAACGTCGGACGTCGCGGCGCGTTGGGGAAACTCTCGCGATACTTGGGGAGCGCGGATACTTGCTCCCCCTGGCGTCGGTCTCGCGCTGCGGCGCTTTGGAAGCTGGATGGATCCAAACTTTATAGCTAAACTGAGTTGAGAGTTATTAAGTCCCCTAACCCGTTCCAGGCAGTGTGCTGGAATTAAAGGATAGGAGCCGGAGGGATTCGGAAGTGGAAGGCATCGCTTTCTGTCTGGCAGCTGGAAGCCAGGGAGAAAGACAAGGGAGCGAATCACCCTTAGCATTTATTTAGCTCTCACTATAGAAAGCCTTTCTAAGGGCCTGGCATGGTGGCGCACGCCTGTAGTCCCACCACCCGGAAGGCTGAGGCAGGAGGATCGTAGCGAGTTGGAGACCAGCCTGGGCTACAAAGTGAGCTCAAGGCCATCCTGAACTGCATAGCAAGACCCTGTCTCGAAACGACCAAAAAAAAAAAAAAAAAATGGGGCTGAGGATTTAGCTCAGCGGCACAGCACCTGCCTGGCAAGCGCCAGGTCATGAGTTCGATTCCAGGTACCGGAAAAAAAACACTCCCCCAAAACAAACAAACAAACAAACAAACAAAAAAGCCGTGTATGGTGGCGCACGCCTGTAATCCCAGCACTCAGGGGGCTGAGGCAGGAGGATCGTTGTGAGTTCGAGACCAGCGTGGCCTACAAAGTGAGCTCAAGGCCAGCCTGAACCGCAGAGTGAGATCCTGTCTCAAAAAAAAATAAAAATAAAAATAAAAGACTATCGAAAAGACAAAAAAAAAAAAAAAAGCCCTTCTGGACCTCTGCAGGGTCCAGAAAAGTCCACATTTGTAGTGCTGTTATAGGCAGCTGAGTTAGACAGAAATATTATAGGCAGTTAGACAGGGCCCTCAAAGGAGCCAGTATGGAAGACAAGATACCTTGTGAATGGAGATGTATTTGCTGTGGGCCAGACCTCAAAACAAAAGACTAAACAAATGAAGCCGGGCTTGGTGGCGCACCCCTGTAATCCCAGCACCCGGGAGGCTGAGGCAGGAAGATCGTTGTGAGTTGGAGACCAGCCTGGGCTTCAAAGTGAGCTCAAGGCCAGCCTGAACTGCACTGCAACACTCTGTCTCAAAAAGATGGAAAAAAGAAAAAAGACTAAACAAATGCACCCACATACCTCCCTAGGGATGGACATCAGGGATTGATACGCTAAATAGGTAGCGATCAAAAAAAAAAAAAGAAAATAAATAGGTAGCGATCACCTTGAAGAGTCACTGACCCAACCCCTTACAGGACAAGCCCCTGTTCTGTATTCCTGCCCGCTTGCTATGTGACTCACTTCCCCATTTGATCCCAATTTAATCAATTTTACCTGAGCAGTTCTTATTGGCTGACCATAGTTTTGTCCCTCCTTGTGTCCATGTAGTGATTTCCCCTATTCCCTCATCTTGAGCCGCCTTACCTCAGGGTTTTGCTCTATAAAATCCCTGGGCAGG